GCCAAATCGTCCCAGGACGATCAGACCAAAATCAATCGTCCTGGACGGTTCCCAGAACTAGTTTCAGGACGATATTTTGAACAGTACAGATCGGCCTGGACGATCTAAATATCGTCCCGGACGATCCTGAGAGGAAAATCCAAACCAGAGAGGAACAGTAAGGGAACGAGGTCTCACACCGCACCTAATAATTTTTCCTTGGAGGGATAGGTAGCACCATTTGTCGATGGAGGTAAATTTTGGGAAATTTTACTTTACCAAAATAGGCTCCAAAATGTTTAAGATAATTGACTCTCTTCTGGCAGTAGACTATGGGTGTAAACTTTTTAGATCTGTTATAAATGGATAAAGTAGAGAAATAAATGTGGTGGGCTCTGTGTTTTTTATATTTTTTTCTTGACTTAACAAATGAATTCATCTCATCTTACAAATCTTTTCATTTATGATTAAACGAGTAAATATAATTATATTAATTAATATTAAAAATGCAGTTATACAAAACATGTGGTTTTTTTTTTATATAAATTAAATAAGATTTTGAATTAATTATATATGAAAGTGATTCGATTCTTTTATGGCTCAGAAAAAGTTTAAATTTTTTAATGCTTTGGTTATGGCATAGATTGTGCTATCTTATTACTTCAAAATTTTGGGTAGATTTTTTATTATTTTTTTAATTTCCTGACTAAAAGGCTTCACCAACTCGAAAAAATGGCATTCAAACGCAGCTTAGCCTATGAGCAACTCTAGAAAAAATGGCATCAAGTTACAACCTCAAATTACATATCTGAAGAATATTATCTTGAAGCAAAATAAATTAAAAATTTTGAGATCAATTTTTTATGAAAGATATAAATAATCCTCATTATATTAACGAACCATTTTGGTCCTCAAGATATTAAAAAGAAATCAAAATACCCCATCAGGCTTTAGCTGGTTTGGTGGACGAGCTTGGTTGGAAACCCCCGAACCCATATTTGATTCCCCTCTCATGAGGCTCAACTCCTTAAGTGAGAAGAAAATACCTACAGGTCCTGCACCTATGACGCTGGTTGCTGGTAGGCTTGCCGAGGGATTATTACACTGTCATACGCCTCCTAAAGAGATGGCAGCGGGTAGATAGCCCCGTTCTCTAAAAAAGTTCTATTTAAGAGTTTGCAGAGCATACATTGACCAAACATTGCTACAACGACAATCTGCCCTTTAAGAAGCCTTTGCATAGCCTCTCCCAAACTCCCCGATCAGGCTCTCGCGCATCTAAGCTTTCTCTCACTGCTTCAGCATGGCAGTCCTGCACCACATCAAAATATCTTTCAGAAAATGGTGAAAATGAGTTCCCAGTTTTTGCTATTCGCTTGTACTAATGACTTCAAAACATTTTGAAGCAAACATTTGGGGCAGCTTTCTTACTGTTTTTTTAAACAATTTTTTATTAAAAAAAATTTAATTTAAGAAAATTTTATACTGAAAAACTGTTCTAGAAAACAGTAAGAAAATTGTCACAAATGAAACTTGAGAGTACGATAATAAGCTATGAACATTTTGGTTGAGTAGTATTATTATGCTTGATATTCGAAGTAAAGGTAGAAGGTAAAAGTGTTGAAAATAAGATCACCTGAATGAGTTTGTGTTGAAGAAGACGATCGACGAGGTGGAGGAGGATATCCTTGGTGTACTCTGGATGGCCTTGTATGCCCATGATGTGATCCCCACACTTAAACATCTCTATTCCGGTCTTCTCCGACCGGGCTAGCGCTTCAGCAAGTGGTGGTAGCTCCCATACCTACACCACTTCAAGCATGCTTGATACTTTGTGCTATTTGGTTGCAAGATTTAGGTTTTTGTTGGCGACTGATTTCTTTCTATTTCTTAAAGCAGTTTTCTAGTACAAAAATTTTAATTTTTACAATGAAAAGCTGCTTTAAGAAGCAATATGAAAGCCGTCTCAAACGAAGCCTTAGGCTTTCTGTGGGACAGCTTTCTTACTGCTTTACAAAGCAGTTTCTTAGTACATAATTTTTTTGAATTTGAAATTTTTTTAGTAAAAAGCTGCTTCATAAAACAATAAGAAAGACATCCTATTTGTTGCTAAAAAGTCCCTTAAAATACACAGGTAGGTATAAAGACATGTATAGAGTTCATCCATGGACATGCATGAGAAGGTCCACATGTAAAAAAGAAAAAATTCTGAGTTCGCTCTTACCTCATCTTGATGGCATTGGATTACTGGAAGGTGAGGAGGGATAAGCAGCTTGCTTAAGGAAGGAGAAGGATGGATACAGGTCACACCTATGTCCCAACCGTTAACAGCTCTACCTGTCTTCCCTCCCAATGCTCTGCATAATACCTGCATGAAGATTTACAAGTCATGAATTTCCTCTAAAGTTTGGAAAATATCTTATTAATAGTAATATAATATCTGTAATTAACTAAATTAATTAGTATAATCTTATTTAAATGTAATATAAGCTGACAACATTTTGTAATTTTAGAAAACAATTCTGAAAAAAGGTAAGGATTGTATTTTTTTATAAAAAAAACAATCTCAATTTTTATTTGAATTTATTTTTCATATCGTAAGATCATTTAATTTTTTTTTTACAGTTCATTAAAATATATTTATTTAGTTTATTTTAGTGGGACAAATCTATTACATTATATGAGCTTAATATCATTAATGTCCAATCAATTGTCCAATAAAAAATAAACTTTTTTAATTAAATTTAAATTAGAATTTAATTCTTAGCTAGTGAGATAAAAGTTGATGTTATTATTATAATTTTGAATCTCATATACATAAATTTATAGTTTCTATCTCTTGATATTTCCCTTCAAAATAAAAAAAATATACAGGAAACAAATGCTGATGCATTTATTCTCCATTTATTTGGGAAGATCTTGGAACATAAAGCCATTCTTCTAGCATATTTATTTTTATTTATTTATTTATTTAAGCCATTCTTCTAGCATATCACCTTATATTAGATAAATTTTAGATTATTATTTTTTGGATAATTAGGGGAATGAATATTATATTACCCACTCATACTCAAAAGAATAAAAATATATTTCTCCATGAGTTAACATATTCGTGAAAAGGTTGGAGTAACGCCAATGACAGATAAACTTAGAGAGTCGTCTTAAATGATTTGGTCATATAATACGGCGGTCTTTCAATGACCCGATTAAGAGAGTAGATGCATTAAATTTAATCTATATAAAAAAAGACAGAAATAGACTTAAAAAAATTTGATTAGAAAATATTATAAATGATATTTTTTTATTAGATCTAAATGATAATTTAACTCTTACCTTATCTTATATAGTAGACTGAATGATTGATAGTATTGTTGTTATAATGAGTTAATATTTGAACAAAAATAAGAAGAAAAATAATTAACTCTTTTATATCATTATAAAAAAAATTATTTCTCAATGAGTTGACATTTGGCTATACACACATCTTTTAAATGTTTTTTTTTTTTTGGAATATTTGAGGCAAAGCACTTAAATGTGTTTTCAATCCCGCTTTGAAATCCGCGAGGACAAAGTAATAAAGGACCCTTTCTTTAGAAAAAGGACGGAGTAGGTCCCATTGGGTCTTCTCCGTCAGTTATTTTACACAAAAAAAATCTTATTTGGGAGGAAAATTTTGGCCAACTGTCAATTTGCTTTACAAGACATCTGTCGTGTAATTCTCTTTTATTATACTAATCACAATAATCAAATACTTATTTTTATTATTTTCTACGTCAGTTTTTTAATATAAAATTTTAATTTTTTATATTCAAACAGATATTTTAAAGCAGTATAAAAGTTTTATCACATAAGTTTTAGATTTCGTTTGGTATAATATTTTTTAGTTTTTAAATTTTTTTTTTACGTTAAGAAGTTGGAAGAAGATCACGGAGATTCTAATATTTATATTTGTCCGTGCCTAAAAGTTTCTCATGAAAAATAATTGTTGGTAGTAGGAGTGTCAATATTTGATACGATATAAAAATCTGATTCGAATCCGATCTGAAAATTTTGGGTTGATCCCAACCCAATTTCGAAATAGGTTAGGATCCCGGGTTCAACCCGTTTGGAAAAACGGGTTGGGTTCGGGTTGACCCGAAAACTCGAACTCAACCCGATTTAACTTGCTTGGAAAAAATGCACGATGTAGAGTCGCGTCACGGCGTCACCCCGCCTACCGCTGTCAAGTGGCTTAGTCGTGTGACATTCCGTTGGCCATCACCTGCATCGTCACCCGCCCACGCCGTTACCATCGCCTGCGCAATCCGCCGTCCAACGCCTCCTTCAAAACAAGCTCTCCATGATGCCTCACCCCGCCTGCGCCATCCGCCCTCCAACGCCTCCTTCAAAACGTGTCCGCAGGTCGGGTCATGTCAACCTGGAAATCCGCACGGGACAGGTTTGGGTTGAAATGCATAACATGTTTGCAAAAACAGGTCGGGTTTTGGTTGGGTCAACTGATGTCGGGTCAATTTCGGGTTCGACCCAAACCAGACACGTGACCCGATTTTGTTATCCTTAGTTGCAGGCATCATTGATTCAAGTAACAGGAAATATCAAAATTCTAGCAAAAAGGAACATGTCGTTTGATCATTCTCATAATAAGAGAGAAAATCAGACATTTGGAAGACAAGCGTTAGATGTTGATAACCACCATATATTAGTAGCTGGCAATATCAAACAACTAAGAGGAAAAGTTCACGATTTCATTGATGGCAGACACCAATAGCTACAAGATGTTAATGCCAGTTGTTAGCAGCTATCGGTTGATAGCAGACAAAAATGTATAATATTAGGAATAATGGGTGATTATTTTGATCATTCAAGGCCTGAAATAAATGGGCAAAATAGAAAATCAAGAACATGTGGATTAACGATCAGCTGATGTTGAATCTAAATAAATATGGAGCCACATTTGATAAGAAAAATTAGAAGTTGAGGGACAATCATCTTGGTTGTTCTTCTAATAGAAGAGGGCTCGAGTGATGAGGAAAATGAGTGTTAGACATCACTCATCCACATGGATTAGATGACAAACTAATAGATTGTATTAAAAGAGAGATGAATCGGGGCTAGAGGTGCAAACGAGTTGAGTCGAGCTCAACACACAAGCTAAATCCTATGCTCGGCTCATGCCACTGAAACCGAGCTCGTCAAGCGGCTCGATTTTGGGGTTCGAGCACACATACATGTTCGCGAATGCGGTACGCGATTCGCACGTGCAGAGACCAATTCGCCTTCTACGGTTCACACACACTTCACCGCTTCGCCTTCAGCGATTTGCATGCGCTTTGCCGCTTCGCCAGTTTGCCTTCTGACTTTCGAGGCGCTTGACCAGTATTCGAGCCGAGCAGCATCTGTATCAAACTCTAGCACAATAATCGAACGAGCTCGAAATTCTGCTAGAGCCAGCTCATGAGGCGGCTTGACTCGTTTGCACCCCTAATGTGAGCATATGCAGCATCTTTTGCACTTAAGAATTTAACATATTATCATAGTAAATTTATTTATTTTTTGGTAAATTATAACATACCTATATTTTGAGACTTATTTTAGAAGAAATTAAAAGTAATGTTGGATAAATTTTTATTTTATTTTATTTTATAGCATCTTAATAATAAAAAGAAATTTAAAAAATTATATCAGCAACTGATATGTAAATCGGAAGATAGTTTGAGCCACTCCTGATGTCATCCACTCGTCATAGATTTTAGACTGAATAACCTATTTTTAAGATAAAATTTGATATATAAATTTGGTTAGGTTAACAAAAAATTTCACTAAATAATTTTTTTATTATATTTTTAATTTATTGATTTAGGCTATTTGGATTCGAATCACCCACAAACCCATTTTTTCGTGTTAGAAAATAAATATAAAAATAGATATGAGAATTAATATAATTTTTTTGTTAGAAATAAAATTTGATTAGAAATGAATTCCTATTGGATAGGACTGTTATTATAATTTAGAATGAAAATAGATTTCTTTTTGTTGAAGATGCTCTAAGATTGTGTAAGGATATTTTTACTCAAATTTAATTAGGATGTATCTAAAAATTTTTAAATATATTTTTATGTAATTTTAATAAAATTTTTTACTGATTATTCATACATAATATTCTTTTATAAGCAAATAAAATAAAATTGATATTTATTGTAATTATATTTTGATCAGATATATTGTCAGATTTTTTTTTTCTAGAAATTGTAGACCTTCCTCTCAAAGACAATCAATACCCAAAAAACCAAGGGGCTGTTTGTTAAATAAATCCTATAAATTCAGATTTAGTAAATCCTTTTCAAGATTTATGACAATTAGATCATTGAAAACATTACATATTAATTATGTGATTATTAATTTTTTTAATTTTAAGCTAACTTTTGAGCAATTTTTACTGAGAAAACATAGATCTGCTATATTTCTCCAATTATAACGATTGAAAGGTATATAAATTCAAATTCTCCTTAAATTTCTGTAAAATAAGTAAATTAAACCAATTCGAAGCTTCAAAGGGCCAATCTCAAATCGACCTACAGCCCATCCCCAAACTATCTCATCTCTGATTTCAACACAGCCGCAACCCCTAACAAGCTAAATCCCAAATTCGAAACCCTTCTCTAACAATGTAAAAGATCACAATCAGAATCCGAGAAACGCCATTCAACATTTAGGACAGTAAAGCAATGAAAGGAAAAAGTGTCTAACCTGATGTCCAAAACAAATCCCGAGGACCTTTCTCCTTCGTTGATGAAGACGCCTCAAAAGAGCAACCAGATCCTGGATCCAAGCATCATCGCCATGGGCATCACTGCGACTCCCTGTGACGACGAACCCATCGTAGATCTCGACGGCATCGTCGGCCGGAAGCTCGCCTTTCGCGACCCTATAAACGTCCCAAACCTCTCCTTCTTCCTCCAGAAGAGCCATGAAAACCTCCAAGTAACCTCCGTATACCTTCTTCACATACTCTGTATCCTCGGCGCATAGAAGCACGGCGAATCTCCTCTTGTCCTTCATTTTGCTCCTCCTCTTCGAAGAGGAGGAGAAATGGAGAATGGGGAGAAGGATTCGTTTGGTATCGATTGAGCACTGGTTTGAGCGAGAAGGGAAATGCGTTTATAAATTGGAATCAGGTACTGTTGGCCTATCAGTTCTGCCATATGGTATTTGCCTTAGGCCATCCCAACTGATAAACTCATTTTTCACTCCAAAATATATTAATACATCAAAAATATAACAATGGCGAGCGATAAATCGAGTATTTTCATCCACTACCTTTTCAACCTTCGGGGGTGGCGCTTCTCTCACAACTTAAATTGGTCCAGTGAGATTGCGTTCATCTTCGATTATCATGTTATGCAAAATTATCCATGTAGTTATTATATCATGAAACACATCTTTGCCCCAAAAACATATAGGTCCTGTCATAATTGTGAAACATAATTAGAGAGCTCAAAAAGTATGTTCTACATCTTTTTACATGTTTCATATTTTATTGCAAAATATTATTTCTATGGAGTACGTGGTTCTTGAATAATTTGCACAATGGTAGACCATTTCAGATATATATACTATTAGTCAAATAATAACCCATGTTATATTCTTCTCCTTGAATGATGTAACGATAGGGAAGAGCTATACCTTGAGATTGGAGAATATGTGGGAAGACTCCAATATGATTATATCATTATTAGTGCCTGACAAATCGAAGTAACCATGTCTTATCCAAAGATCATAGTCAGCCACAACTTCCAGAATAATTGTAGGGGATTCAGTACATCCCGCTTATTGCCCAGCCTAACCGGTGGGATAATTTTTTCACTTCAAGTGCATAAAATCTAATTTGCCCAATATTTATGGAAAACTATGTTGTTCATTAATATGAAGAAGTCTAGCCACATCATTGATTGTTGGTAATCTTAATTATTGCTCTGAAAATATTTGGACTACTACTCTACAAAATATCTTCACACTTTCGATTGTTATTGATTCACCTATTTTAATGTACTCGTCTGTGGCATCTGCGAGTAATCCATATGCTAACATCTAAAGGACTCAAGTTACTTTCGGGAGGGGTGATAAACCAATGTAAGCCTACTGGTGTGATCCATTCATGGGTGGAAGCAGCTATCATGTGTATTTACTGCATCAATTATGCGCAGAAACAATTTTTGAGACACTCGATATTTTTGTCAGAACATTGTATCATTGTATATTGGATTACTTGAGAAGTAATCTTAATAGAGTCGACGATCTGCAGCCATCCGGTCACGGTTGGTAAAAATAAGCCCTATAATTGAGCCTCCTACAGTGATGTGGTTAATAGGTCAAGTAAGCTGGCGTTGAATCATCATATTGTTATTTGTTATAGCATGGTGAAACATCGTTTCCTCTTCTTATAGATTATTTATCCGTTGGAGTATGTATTCTTAATCTATGGAAGAAGAAGATGAAAAACTACTATGCATATTGATATTTTGATGTTAATATCACTTAGAAATCTATTATTTATAGGAGAAGTGCAATGACCAGTCACATTCGGTCAATACTGCTTGAGATGTGTGAGAATCCCAAAGGATAAATTGTAGTGAGTGGTCACATCTCGTTATTGCTTCTTGAGAAGTGTGAGAATCAAAAGTATAAATTTTAGTGACTGATCACATCTGGTCAATATTACTTGAGAAGTGTGAGAATTATATGGAACAAATTGTAATGACTAGTCACATCCAATTAATGCTGCTTGAGATATGTGAGAATCACAAAGGACAAATTACAGTGAGTAGTCACATCTAATTAATGATTCTTCAGACGTGTGAGAATCTTATAGGACAAATTGTAATGATTAGTCACACTCGATCAATGATGCTTGAGATGTGTTAGAATCCCAAAGGACAAATTACAATGAGTGATCACATCTAGTCAATACTGCTTGAGAAGTGTGATAATATAAATGACAAATTCTAGTGAGTGGTTATATCCGGAGTGATATTAAATTACAAAGTAAGAAGGATGTCAAGAATACCAATAAAATTATTATATAAATAGGGGTGAGGATCATGTCATGTAATTGGTATTCTAAATTCATTAAGCCTCAAAAAAATATGTCTATCCGATCAACTGCATATTCTCAAGAGCAATATAAGCTCTTATACATAATTTACATGGAAATTTCTCAATACCCAATCACAAGTATATATTAATCATCAGATAACTTTTGGTCATGTATAAAATAAGCGTACAATAATTCCAAAAGTTAAAGTTAAGAAATTTGTTCAAAAAGATCTGTTTAGTCTCATATTCATACTATTGAGAAAGCAACAAGGAAGATGCACGCATGTATTTGACGGGTTAAAAATAGACATATTAGTGGTGCTTCAAATGAATATATTGTAAGTATTCATGTTTATTATAAAAATATTTCCTTTTTATTTCAAAACATATTTAATTATAATTATGCATATTGATTTATAGTTAGATCAAGCCACACTATTTTTTGCACAAGATGAAGCTAAGTTCACCTATTATTACGTTATGTAGCTAAACTCATCCCTAGTGTTGAAGAGAAGTGCCCCAAATTTTTATCAGGGCTCCAAGATATGATTCCTCAACTGTTAATTCCATTGAGTCTTGGTGATTACTCCGTTATGATTGAGAGGGCAAAAAGGATAGAGATTGAGCATTAGACCATGTAGAAGTATAGAGACTTTCATAAAAAAAAGAGAAGTTTTAAGAAGTCCAAGAGCTTCCAAACACATTTAAGAGGCTTTAGTCTGAAGAAGGATAAGACATATAGGAGCGGGAGTTCGTCCTGTGTTAGAGCTTGTGAGAAGTGTAGCATGATAAATAGAGGCGAGTGTCTTTTTAGCTCTAATGTTTGCTTTTGGCGCAACCAGCCAAGACAAATTGCTAGAAACTACCCGAGAGGTCCAAGGGAGGTGAAGTCCAGTGCTCGTCCACCTTAGCATAACACTGGTAGACAACTAACTATTGGTAGGCCTAGAGCATAGAAGTCTTCTATATTAGTACCTAGTCAGCCTACTACATGACCAATTGTTTAACCTCATGTTTATGCCATTGCATAACAAGAGGCTAAATAATCTCTTGATGTGATCACATGTATCATATATGTTTAAAGTCTACCTACTAGAGTTCTTTTTGATACTGGAGTATCACATTTATTTATTAATCATGGATTATCAAGAAGCATGCATTTAGTGTCAATAGTATGCCCATTGCACTGTTAGTTATGTTGCCTGATGAGTCCAATGTAATTACCATAAATATGTGTTTAACAATACTTTCTATTTACAAAAGGAAGTTTGATGTTGATTTGATCGTATTGACACTTTTGGAATTTGATGTGATCATAGGAATGCATTGGATGTCTAGCCATTTCATCTCAATATATTGCAATAAGAAAGTAGTAAAAATCAAGATTCCTAGGGGAGAAGCATGCATTTCAGGGTGATCGAGATGTATCATCTATGATAATCTAATTCTTGAAGGCATATAGCTTGATATTGAAGGGTTACCTGAGCTTTTTAACTCATATAAGGGATACTTCGAAGTAAGTGCCGGAGTTGAATGAGCTTGCCATAGTAAGGGAGTTATCAGATGTGTTTCCTTATATTTTGCCTGGAATGCCTCCTATTAAAGAAATTGACTTCTCTATTGATCTTTTGTCTGGTGCTGAACCTATTTCGAAAGAACCATATCGCATGACAGTTAAGGAACTACAAGAGCTTAAGGGCTAATTGCAAGAGTTATTAGAGAAGGAGTTTATTCGCCCAAGTACCTCACTATGGGGAGCGCCCATTCTTTTTGTTAAGAAAAATGATGGTAATATGTGGCTCTACATTGATTATAGAGAGTTGAATAAGCTTACCATCAAGAATAAATATCCTTTGTCAAGAATAGATGACTTATTTAATCAACTTATAGGAGCCACAATCTTTTCCAAGATTGACTTAAGGTTCATCTACTATCAATTAAGAATTAGAGAGGAGGATACCCCTAAGATAGCTTTTAGTCAAGGTATGTACACTACGAATTCATAATGTTACATTTTGAACTAATAAATGTTCAAGCTCTTTTTATGGATCTGATGAACTAGGTCTTTAAGCAGTGCTCAACAGTTTTGTCATCATTTTCATTGATAATATTTTAATATATTATTGTGATGAAAAACATCATTCCAATCATCTACAGATTATATTATAGATATTAAGGGGAAATGAATTATATGTCAAGTTCATCAAGTGTGAATTTTGATTGAAGAGCATAGTATTTTTAGGTCATGTGATTAGTGGTAAATGCATTATTGTTGATCAGCATAAGGTGCAGGCTATAGCTAAGTAGCATAGACCTACGACCGTTACTGAGATATGAAGTTTTCTTGGGTTAGTAGGCTATTATAGAAGATTTGTTGAAGGGTTCTCTAAGATTGGTACACCATTAAGTAGACTGACTTAAAAGGTGGTGATGTGATGAGATTTGAGTGGAAAAGTTAATATGAAAAAGTATTTCAAGAGTTGAAGACTTGCTTGATGACTGTGCCAATCTTATTATTCCTTCAGGAATTGAAGGTTTTCAAATTTTAAGTGTCGGATCACTAAGGGGATTAGGATGTGTCTTGATGAATCATGGGAAAGTAGTTGCCTATGCCTCTAGGCAATTGAAAAATTATGAGAATAACTACTTAACTCATTATTTGGAGCTTACTACAGTAGTTTTTTCTTTGAAGATTTGAAGGCACTACCTATATGGGGTGCGTTGTGAAGTATTTACTGGTCACCAAAGCTTGAATTATATCTTCACGTAGAAGGAGTTAAATTTAAGGCATAGGCGATTGATAGAATTACTTAATGATTATGATTTGGATATTCAGTATCATCCAGGGAGGACAAATACTGTTGTTGATGCCTTAAGCAAGAAAATGCCTATGAAGATGAATTGCTTATTAACCCAACAAGAGAAGCTGATTGAGGAGATGGAATGCTTGGAGTTATCTGTAATACTTCCTACGACTAAGAATGTGAGATGTTTGGGTCAAATTATAGTGCAATCTGATCTAAAGAGTAAGATAGCTGAAGCCTTGCTAAGGGATCCTGATTTTATAAAGATTTTTAATTTGGTGAGAGTAGGCCATGAAGAGGATATTGATGATGATGATCTTCTATGGTACAAAGATAGAGTTTTTGTGTCAAATATGAATGACTTGAGGAGGAATGTTCTCTATGAAGCTCATCACTCTGGCTATACCATTCATCCAGAGCAAGATGTATCAAGACCTGAAGGTCTTATTTGGTGGCCTAGGTTGAAGAGGAGAATAGTTGATTATGTTGCGAAGTGTGCTACTTATCAATAAGTCAAGACTGAGCATCAAAAGCCATGTGGATTACTTCAACCATTGCCGATCCTAGAGTAGAGTGGATGATATTACTATAGATTTTGTGACAAGCTTATCAAGATCTCGATAGGGTCATGAACTATTTGGGTTATCATTGATAGACTTACAAAGTTTACTCACGTCTTACCTATTCGAGAGACTGACTCAATTGGGAAGTTAATAATATTATATGTTGTAGAGATTGTTCGCCTGCATGGTGTACTGAAGTTCATAATATATGATCGTGATTGTAGATTTAGCTCTAGACTTTAGAGAAAAGTTCAAGAGGCTATGAGCACCAGATTAACTTTTAGTATAACATTCCATCCTCAGACTGATGGACAATCTAAGTGGACTATACAAATTTTTAAAGATTTGCTTAGATATATGTCCTTAATTTTAGTGGAGGCTAGGAATCCCATATTCCTTTGATAGAGTTTGCTTATAATAACAACTTTTAAGACAACATAGGAATGGATCCATATGAAGCACTCTATGGAAGGAAATGTAGATAACCCTTATATTGGGTTGAAGCAGACGAAAGGAAAATGATTAGCTCCAATTTGGTTGATGTTGCTAGCAATAAGATCATAATTATCATAAATAGGTTGCGAGTAGTACTATATAGGTAGAAGAAATAATATGATGCTAAACTTTGCTCCATGGAATTCAATGTAGGAGATTTTATTTTTATTAAGATTAGGCCTATGAATGGTGTATTACGTTTTGGCAAGGCTGGCAAACTTAGTCCCCATTACATTAGTGTTTTTGAGATTGTGGAAAGGATTGGGAACATGGCTTACAAATTGGCTTTGCCAGCTAATATGTATGCTCAACACAATGTGTTTCTTATTTCTTCCCAAAGGAAATTTATATTATATGTTCATTCTAAAATCATAATGGAACCTGTGGAGATACAACTAGAACTTACTTATGTTGAAGAACATGACCATATTTTTGAATTTAGTGTGAAGCAACTCAGAAGCAGAGACATACAGTTTATCAAGGTCCTATGGAAGCATGGGTATGAGAAGGAAATTACAAGGGAGAAATAATTAGAAAAGAAGAAATGCTATCCTCTTCTCTTTGTTTAAGATATACTTTGTCCATCTTGTTTTAATTTTGAGGATTAAATTTTTATTTTGAGGCGAGAATTATAAAACCTGAAAATATCGATCGTAAGCATCACACACATTTTGATGCTCCGTGACAAAATTAGGAGAATTTTCAAAGTTGTCGGATTTTGATAAAATAAATCTTATAAAATTGTATATTTAATTTTGATCAAATTGATATAAAAATTTATAATAAATTATGCATGATTTAGGAGATAAAAATCACTGAAGTTTCATAAAGCATAAATGATTAATGGGGGCACATGTGTCAATTTTCCTCACCAGCCAAATAAACTCCTAAGGGACCAAAATATTATGTCCCATCTCATTTGTTCGGCTGAATAGAGGGAGTGAGCGATCGAGAGAGTGAAAGGGCTGCAACTTGGGCGATGGAGTGCGGCGTCCGACAGTGGTCTTGGAGGGAAATCGTAGGGGAAGGCCGAATAAGCAATAATGTATGTTCCTATACCTAGAAATCTTCATTTCCCCATAGATATTTGGAGGAAAAAATTTTAGGGTTTCTCCAAAACTTAATATTTTTCAAAAAAAAAAAAAAGTTAGGGAAAGTCTAATGATGGATTTTAACCATGAAAATATAGTTTTCCCAAAATTTTGTTAAGTTTAAAAAATTAGGATTTTTCTGATTTTTTATTTCTATGAAAATTCTTTAACAAATATTGTTCCAAATAGTGTTAGGAATATTTTTTATGAAAGAAATTAAGATTTTTCACAAGTTTTTTATTTTCTTAAATTTTTATTTAAAATATTCCGAAAATAGATATACCCTAAATATTAATTAGATAATGGGGAGCTTTTAACATGAAATATACTGAAAATAATGAAATTTGTATTTCCAAAATTAGGGTTTTTAGGGAAAACAAAATCTTAAAATTATTTTATGATAATTAAACTTTTGATAAGGAGAGATCGTCGCGATGATAGACAACGAATTCATACATTTTGAGAATTTTTACCTGTTTAAGATAGGTACATTTAATTCTCCAAATTCAATGTTCTTTTTTGCTCCTTAAAATTAAATGCATTGCGATACGTTTTAGCATTAGAATAGAAAGTTGAAAAGTAATTATTATTAAATGCATTGTCTTGTTTAAATAATAATATGAATTTTTATTTAGTTCTTTTATGCCAGTTCTTTTAACGTTAAATGCATATTTATGCTAGTTCCACATTTTTATTTGAATAGAATCTTCATGTAGCCTTGCATAAGAATGTGATATATAGAAACAAAAGATTGTTATATATGTTAGTCACCTATCCTATAATAATTATTACATATGAATTTGTACATGTTAAGGCGGAGTATCAATATGATGCATTGACACAATATAGCCCTTCAGGGCAATATGAATATGACTCTTCAGGGTAATATAATAAAGGAAAATGATATGATGAATATGTATGTGTACATGATCAGTACAATTTTGATACTCCAGTACATGTGTATATGATACAAATAAGATATATATATACAAAAAATAAAGACATTGAAATACATAAAATGAAAGAAGTATTACACTTATGAAATATAAAATGATCATATGAATTCATAAAGAGATAGGTGCTCGACTATCTTTGCATGACATTATATAGTTACATGTTGCTCAGTCTCATATTACAACATGAATATTGATCTTTATTATATTGTAATTGAGTTTGGTAGAGTTGTTACCAGCTGAGTGTTAGCTTACTCCCTAACTTTGAGATATTTTTAGGAGAACCACTGTTTAAGGATGGCAGATAGGCAGCAATATACCTACTAGCGTAGGGTTACCACAAGAGACATGCTCTTTTGTTGAATGTACTTTTGATGTTTCTTTTTGCCATGGATCTCACATGTCTGGTTATGATCCACATGTATAAATGTCTTATGATATAATTATTATTTTTTTAATTTGTGAAAATTTTAGTGATTCTTTATAATTGTTTTGGATATTAGATATGTTAATATTTATGTGATGATATCTGATTTATGTTTTTAATTTTCATCCGATATCCATCCCTGCCTCGTTTACTCACGCTTCTTGTATCGGACCGTGACAACTCGAGCTCAATTCATTTATGAGCTCGCGAGCTGAGCTTACAGAGCTCACGAGTCGAGTTTAAGGCTGTTGAGGCTCAGCTCGTGAGCGTGCCCGAATTACTGTTTGAATTTTTTTTAAAATTATAAATATTTTTACTATACTTAAAAATTTTAAAAAAATTAAGTTCAAATCCAACACCCACATGGTTAATAGAAAATTTCTCAAATTTCAATGCTAACAAATGCATGCTGTAGCTTTAATTATTACTAAAATAATAAGTTATTGCAGCTTTAATAAATTTATGCAGCAGCAGTAGCATTAATTATTGAGCCTAAAAATTATATAGTGCTTCTGTCCTCCCAAAGCAACAGGCTTCTTTTCTCCGCCGAGCTCTCCACTGTTGAAAAACTGGCGTCAAAAAAAAAAAAAAAAGGCGGGCGGAAAACCAACGCAGCTAGGCGCAAAATTGAGAGCTCAATAAGCTCGTTACAATGTCGCGAGTAGAGTTTGATATTTAACTCGCAAGTCAAGCTCAAACACCTCCTGACTTGAACTCGACTCGACTTATTTACACCCCTAACCTCGGGTGTCATGTTGATTAATTGTGATCATAGTGATGCGATGCCACTCACATTTTTCTTATGTAAAGAGCAATCTAAAGCTTGATGCTCTTGCACCTTTCAATATTTTGTTTAACATTTCATTTTGCGAGTAAGAGAAAATGCACACTGTTGAGTTAGCTATGCCAAGCAAAGAATTAGTGAGGAGGGCATCAATTCATCTTTTTAAGGGCGAGAGGGATGAGCAACATCTTTACACTTTGGTGAATAAGGTGAAGGACATCAAAGTTCTCCCCTAATCAGTCCAATAGTTTATTGGGACTATTGTCGGCGCCCCTCCCCCTAGTGAAGAAGGTAAAGGTTGAGTCGAGTGTAGTAAAAATAAACATAAGATTATTGGAATTGGGAAAATTATTACGTGCGGTGTCCGGATTCGTTTAGAGACGAATTCGGATGCACTACATCACCCGGGGCCCGATGCATCCGGGTGACGTGGCACGTCCAAATTGGCCTCTGGACGGTCCGGACACCGCATGTAATAATCTCTCGTAATATTGAGAACAGTGACATGAGTTCCGCTTTGGAGCCCAATGGAGGTACTTGTTACTGAAGTGGTAGTTTACACCGAGTTCGTAATAACCTTAGTTAGAGTTGAATTGATGGCTCCCCCAAAGGAAAAATTATTACATCCGATGAAAATACCGAGCATACCGAGTGTACCGAGCACTTTAGTGACGTGACGTTTTGTTATTGGTTTTCGGATGCATTCGGTAACCTGACGGAATAATTACTCCCCCCAAAGGAACGTAAGAACTACTTGTAGCACAAAAATTATATTGAACTAGAAATTTTTGTACTAGAAAGCTACTTTAAAAGCATTAAGAAAGCCATCCCAAACGAAGCCTACATTTCAACAATAAATCTGAATATTTGAGCAAATTTTGGCAAGCAGGATCATAAACATATAAGAAAGTTTTTAATACCATTCAACCATGAAGACGAGAAGATTTTGATACTAGAATCTATGTTTTCTGAGATGTTGGCATTGCCAGGGAAACGCCCTGAACTGGCAAATCTTTCCATTGCTGAGTTACAGTTTTTATTTGAGTGTAGAATTGTACTCCAGCTTTGCCTGTTATTCAATAGAAGAACTCCTTTGGGTTAGAAAAGGTTGAAGGAAATGGAAAAAAGTTGGGAGTATATTAAGATAAAAATTTGGTCTGAATATAAAACATGAATAATTAATAAATTTTTTAGATTGTTTTCATAAAAAAATAAATCTAAGAATTTTAAAATAGAAAAAAAAAAAAGATCAAAATGATCGCTTTGACTCTTTATGAAAAGCCAAAATAATATCTAACTATATTAATAGATCAGTTTGGTCCATCGATTCCTTAAATAAAATCCAAAATATTCCTGCCATAAGACTATTTTGATTTCTTCTATTAAAGATTTGAGGGGCCAAAATAATCCTTTAATATAATTGGGGACCATTTTGATCCTTTATAAAAGTCAAGAGACCATTTTAATCCTTTTCCCTTTTACAATATATCTTGATCAAATTTTGATCAAAACATTCTGACACAATTTTTTCCTTAAGGAATTGCAGAAATGCATGGAGGAAAAAAATTTGGTCAACATATTATCAATATAATGCATAGTAATCAATTAAAATTTATATTGCATTCATCTTTAAAAAAATTTAACAAATCTGAAAACTATCCTAACAAATAATTTAGTCAGAATATCTAAACCAACATTTTTCCTTGGAAAGATTGTGCAGAAAAAACAATAATAAATTTGGGCTCACCATAAAAGTTAAGATCACCCGCAAAAGAAGCCTTTGAACCAGTGAATGAGAAGAATGGGAGAGGAACTGGAATAGGCACATTAATGCCAACCTAGTCATAAAATAAGAATAAAAATAAGAGAAGAAAAAAAAAAAGTCAGATAAACATCTCCAGAAACACAACTGATAAATATACATGTACAATTCTTAGCTTAAACATACAAATTATTTTTGAATAGTGAATTATTTCAAGAATACGTGCGGAGTCCGGACGTAGAGTTACGTCCGGAAAAATGTGACACGTGTCATTGTATACAGTGTGTACAAATTTATACACATTATGTACAATTGTGTACAGTGTGTATATTATGTATATAATTTTGTACACACTATGTACATAATTTTATAATTTGTACATAGTGTGTGTACAATTGTACACACTATGTATAAAAATACATGTCATGTTTTTTATTGGTGTCCGAACATATCCAGACTCCGCACGTAATAATTTCTCCAGGATTTGGCTAAGATGCTACAAATATCATGCAT